TACCATCTCGCCAGCAAGAACGAAGCGGCACACTTAGGATCCTTCTGTAGAAAAGCTTTAATGTGTCTTGAGAGAGAGAGCATAAGCTTCCAAAGCGGAGACCCAGAATGAGGGGAACCCATCCCTTATATAGGAAACAGTCCTCGCTTCGGACGTGTCACTCTTGGATTGGTCCGCTGCCCATCAACCCAGATGACACCTCGGGAGTAGGCAGGGATGCAGCAGTGGAAAGTTACCAAGCACATGCGCATTATAGTCCCACTGTCTCTGCCTCCCCAATGCTGGGATTAAAGGCGTGTGCTACAACACCTTGAACTCAAAGAGATCTGTCTCTGCCTCCCAGGCATTGGGATTAAAGGTGTGTACTGCCACACCCTGAAGTCACAGAGGTCAACTACCTCTGTCCCTTAAAGTCTCAGAGGTCAACGTACCTCTGCCTCCCAGGCATTGGGATTAAAGGTGTGTACTGCCACACCTTGAAGTCACAGAGGTCAACTACCTCTGTCCCTTAAAGTAATGGAGAATGTGGTTGTGGCCCTCCACAACTACTAACCTCATTTCTTTTTTAAATTTTTTTTTATTTTTGCATTTTATTTATTTATGTATTTCTTTAGGTATGAGTGCTCTGTCTGCACATATGCTTGCATGCCAGAAGAGAGCATCAGATCCTATTATAGATGGCTGTGAACCACCATGTGGTTGCTGGAAATTGAACTCAGGACTTCTGGAAAAGCAGTCTGTGCTCCTAACCTCTGAGCCATCTCTCCAGCCCCTTAATCTCATTTCTTAATTATAGAGTGCATTTTTAAATGCGCTGCATAAGTGCAATACCCCAAACAAGAGGAGAAACAAAAGTATAACAAATATAACTTTAAATTTATATCAATATGCCAATGAAATATCTGAGATTAAGTTATCTTTTTATCCTCCATTCCCCTAAATGGTAGCAAACATCCATAACCCACCAAATAACCAAAAACTACCCACTCCACCTCTTGGGAATGTGGGTGTTATTTTCTCTAGACTGCTTCCTGTGGGTGAAGACATCTTTAGGGGTGCCTGAGAAAACTGAGATGATGATCAAGCCCTGGTAACCTTTGTTGATAGATAGCACCTGTCAAGGCGGTCTCCGATAGCTACAGGTATCACCTATACAGGTCTCCCTGATCAGACCTGATCCATATTACTCCTGAAGGAATTCACAGCCTTTTTGTTTCCTGTGGAAACAAAAGCATAACCTCTTTCCCAAAGCATTTTTGACTTCCATCCGACACATTTTTTTGGCTTCCATTTTGAAGTTAAGGCATTCTTCAAATACCCAGGCTGGCTTATTTCAGCAGTCCTTCTTTCAATCCCAGGTCTCTAGCAGCTGCTGTTTGCTTATCAGCAACCAAAGAGTTCAAAGGTGACACAATACTAACAGGATCCAGACTCCCTGTGTAGTTCCCATCTTTATGTGGCTTATTCGTTTTTTACTACTTTACTCTCCTTTTAAAGACTTTATTATTTATAAACTATTTCTTTCTATGAATGTCTATACTCTCTCTTTTCTTTCTTAAGCCTATGCACATTTTTAAACACACTGAAACCTATTTAAAGTTTTGTTTGTTTGCTTGTTTTTCTGTCTGAACCTGCTTTACTTTATACCTCTAGTCTTTTTTGATCACATGAACCTTTAAACTGCTAAGTGGCACAGCCAGGACCTCCTTCTCAGCTCTGGCAGCTGGTTCCACCTACTTCTCAGGTCTCTGAGAACCATGCCTAGAGCTCATGGGCCCATAGGGAAGTAGGTGACCAAGAACGGCATTCAATCCCCCTCCTGGGGCTGGAGAGATGGCTCAGCGGTTAAGAGCACTGCCTGCTCTTCCAAAGGTCCTGAGTTCAATTCCCAGCAACCACATGGTGGCTCATAACCATCTGTAATGAGGTCTGGTGCCTTCTTCTGGCCTTCAGGCACACACACAGAAAATAAAAAATAAAAAAAATAAAAAACAATAAAAAAAAATCCCCCTCCTGTCCCCCATCTCTGGGATGCCAGGCCCTGTACTGTGGCAGGTGTTTTCACTTTCCTCTTTCTACTTAGCATAAAACAGCTGTGTTCTACTGTATGCCAGAGTTTCTTAAAGGAAATGTATCTTTTTGTTTTTTTGTTTTTTTCCAGTTTTCTCAGGCCCTATGCAGAAATCCAGGCCTCACATTGGAATATCAAAATGCAATTGGAATTTTTTTCTCTTTGGGGGCTCACCATCCAGCTCCTAAATAAATACTTGGAGACTTACTCTTACTTATGAATGCCCATCTTAGCTTGTCTTACTTCTAGCCAGCTTTGCTAACTTAAATTATTGTTTCCCTTTAATTATGCTTTGCCTCTGGGATTTTACCATTTTTATTTTATATATCTTTCTTTCCTACTCTGTGGCTGGCTGTGTTATTGATCCCTGGCGTCCTCCCCTTTTTCGCCTTTTCTCACTCCTCCCTTCTTTCTTTCTCCCCTTCTCCCCTAGATTTCTCCCCCTATTTATTCTCTCTGAGCAGCCCCACCTATCCTTTCTGATGCCTAGCTATTGGCTGTTCAGCTCTTTATTAGACCAATCAGGTGTTTTAGGCAGGCAAAGTAGCACGGCTTTCAGAGTTAAATAAATGTAACATAAAAGAATGCAATATATCTTTGTATCACTAAACAAATATTCCACAGCATAAACAAATGTAGCGTATCTCAAACTAATAATAAGTTCAGGCTTGCTTTGAACTTAGGAATTCTACTGCCTGTGCTTCCTAAGTGCCAGTATTGAAGGCACCATCACCGACCAGCTCACACAAATCTTTTAAAAATACATTTGTTTGTTCATCTATTCATTTACATATGTATGTTTATATGTGTTTATTTCCATATGTGTATATGTATTTGTGCACATCTTGGTGCACATGTGAGACTCAGAAGACAGTTGTGGGAGTTGGTTCTCTCCATCCAACCATGTGGGCTCCAGTAATTCAACTCAGGTTATCAGGCTTGGTAGAATCACCTTTACTCAGTAGTCACCTCGCCAGACCCTTACTTTTGACTTTTTTGAGACAGAATTTCATGCATCCCAGGTGAGTCTCAAACCCCCTGTGTAACAGGGGGTGGCATTAAACTTTCAGTCTTCCTGTTACTGCCCATCAAGTACTGGGATTTTAGGCATTGGCCCAGCACCAGGCTGCTCCAGTCTATAACAAAATCAATATAACAAAATCTACAAGTCTATAGCGCTATCTAGTATTAAAGCTGCACAGGTGAGACTCAGGCAATATGAGACACTGACAAACCAGACTCTGTGTTTTGTGTGTTCTATCAGTGAATCTTTTTTTTTTATTTATTTATTATGTATACAATATTCTGTCTGTGTGTCTGCCTGCAGGCCAGAAGAAGGCATCAGATCTCATTTCAGATGGTTGTGAGCCACCATGTGGTTGCTGGGAATTGAACTCAGGACCTTTGGAAGAGCAGGCAATGCTCTTAACCGCTGAGCCATCTCTCCAGCCCCTCAGTGAATCTTTTTTTGAGGCAGGGTCTCATGTATCCTAAAGCGTCTTTGAATTTATGAGGGTGGATCTTCTGATGGATCACCTTGCCTCCACCTCCTGAGTACTAGGATTGTAGGTGTGCCCCACCATACTGGGCTATGCCCTGCTGGGAATCAAACCCAAGACTTATTGTATAAGCTCTTTAGCTGAGTCACATTCCTAGCCTATCTGCTTGCTATTTTAAAAAATATTTATTTTATTTTGTTATGTGTCTATGTGTCTATGTGTCTGTCTATGTGTATGCCTGCAGGCAAGAAGAGGGCATCAGACCCCATTACAGATGGTTGTGAGCCACCATGTGGTTGCTGGGAATTGAACTCAGGACCTTTGGAAGAGCAGGCAATGCTCTTAACCTCTGAGTCATCTCTCCAGCCCCATCTGCTTGCTTTTTGAGACAGTTCTGAAACCCAGGCTAGCTCAAACTAGTCATGGTCCAGCCTGAGCCTCCTGAATGCTGGAATCTTAGGTGTGCATCACCACGCTTGTCTTTTGTCCTTTCTGTCAGAGTCTCTCCTGTCTAACCACAGGATGTGCAGTTTAGCCCACAGGCTGGTTAGATGGTATCTTGCTGCAAGATGGAGGAGCCCTCAGCAGGATATGGATGACTGAATCCACACATCCATCAAAAGATTAACCTACTCATCTGATCAGAGCCCTCAAGACCTCTGGAAACACCATTAGAGACAGAACCCATGCTCCACTATACTGTATAATAAACTCCATCTGTATTCTTGCGTGTCTCTTCTGAAATAAGATTTATGTGTATGACTGGGCGATGGCGGTGCACACCTTTAATCCCAGCACTTGGGAGGCAGAGGCAGGTGGATCTTTGTGAGTTTGAGGTCAGCCTGGTCTACAAAGCTAGTTCCAGGATTGGATCCTTAGCAACTGAGAAACCTGTCTTGAAAAAAAAAAATTATGTGTATGAGTGTCTTGCCTACATGTATGTAAGTGCACTGTGTGCATGCCTGGAGTCCACAGAGGCCAGAAGAGGGTGCCAGATCCCCTGGAACTGGAGTTACAGATGTTTGTGAACTGCTGTGTAGGTGCTGGGAACTAAACCCTCTGCGAGGGCAGCCAGTGCACTTAACTGAGTCATCGCTCCAATCCCTCTTCTGGATACTTCAGATAAAAAGATCCCAAAAACTGAGGGGAGTCTTGTGCAAGATCCTAGTAACACTTTAACTTATTGTTTTTTACTTTTGCCTTTTCAGTCTGTGCTCAGGCCTTAGAACGCGATTCCCAGCCTGAGTGTGTTAAGTGCTGGGATCGTAAGTGTGTGCCTGTATCTAAAGCCGTTTGTTTGTTTGTTTGTTTGTTTTGTTTTTTTGTTTGTTTTTTTAGGAGGTGTGATATAGCTTCCTTGTTTGTGCCTAGACTTTCAATCATTATCTCTCTAGGGATGGAATTAGGGAATCTACAGCATTTGGAACAAATTCTGTCAATCGAGTTTTTATTGGGCAAATTTCAGAAAGGAGGTCAAGAGTTGAGCAGCTTCTATTATCACCTCAGGAGAGACGAGGAAGCTGTGAGAAAACACGAACATGAAAGTTCAAAGTCGTTGCCGCCCTTACACTTTTAGCCAACAGGCATTTACCGGCTATCTGCTATGTGCTCCGCCCTGGAGACTAAAGATTCAGGTTGTCGGTTCTCAAAGCTGGTGTTCAACCTCGGTGTTTCTTTACAAGAACAAAATAAGACGGGTGGCGCTATCACCCAGATAATTCATCCGGGCGTGGGGGTGCCCACCCTTAATCCCAGCATTGAGACAGACGGATCCCTCTAGAGGCAGAACACCAGCCTGATCTACATGGCGAGTTCCAGGCCAGCCAAAGATATGTAGTGAGTGAGACCCTGTCTCAGAAGAAAGAAGAGGAAAAGTAAGGGAGAGAGAGAGAAAGAGAGGGGAGAGGGAGAGAGAAGAAACAGGATTCCTGCAAGAGACATGAGGACTGGAACTCTCCGGACCTCATCCAATCCTAACTCCAGTTATTTTTACTTCTCACAGGCTGGGAGATCTTCCCTATGACTCGAACCCAGCCCTAAGCAAACGCCTGCCGCCCCGGAAACTACAACGCCCATAAGCCTTCGAGGGCGCTGGTGCATTGTGGGATGCTGCGCACTTTCCTCCTAAAAACAGCCCCTCAGGCTGAACTGTAGAAATTGTGTCCTTCCCCGCGAGACAAAATCCTCCTCTTCCGCCTTGTACCCGGATATCAGTGGTCATGGCCATAAAAACTGGCGGCTAGAGGCTCCCAAACTCGCTCTCCCGACCCTCGTTTCCGCCGGAAGTGATCTGTAGTCGCAAGTGCCCGTCCTTCCCTGCACGCGCGGGTTCCCGGTGCCTAATTTTCGGTCCCGGTCGCCGTGTAGTCCCACAATGGCGGCCGCCACCCTATTACGAGCGACGCCCCGCTTCAGTGGTGAGGGGGCGGGTTGGGTGCAGGCAGCCTGGAGACATAAGGGGCATCGCGTTAGCTGGGTTCGGATCCACTTCCTTGACTACCCCAAGCTCCTTTCCCCGCAGGTCTCTGTGCCAGCCCGACCCCATTGCTGCAAGGTCGGCTGCGGCCGCTGAAGGACCGGGCATCGCCCTTCTTGTGTCGCGGTCTTGCCGTGGAGGCCAAGAAGACCTACGTGCGCGATAAGCCCCATGTGAATGTGGGTACCATCGGCCATGTGGATCACGGCAAGACCACCCTGACCGCAGCTATTACGAAAAGTGAGTTTGGGTTGGGTTTGGTTGGGGGCGTCCCGCAATACCCTGTCAGCTGGAAGGACCAGAGCCGTGGAGTACAGTGTCTGTAGTCTGTTGTTTAGCCTGGCGCCAAAACCCTTCAGATTGGAAGATGCAGGAGACAGGTTGCCCTGTGCAAGAGCAGCTCTGTGAGACACAATCTGAAAGTATGAATGGCATTCTGTGTAGAGTGGTTTGAAAGGAGACGCTGTCAGTGGAGAAGTTAAGCGTCTGTGACAAAGACAGACCCCTTGGACAATACATTTTGTCGTACCCTACCTCCCCGTGCCAAGTTATCTTCTAGAAGAATTGGAGATTAGAGAGCTTTATCCGTCCAGATTGTTCATGTATGAGGGATTCAGGGGTGTGCCCGGAACCTCGTCTGCAGCGCTGAACCCGAGTTGAGAGGTGTGTTCTCTTCCTCCGGTAGTTCTAGCCGAGGGAGGTGGAGCTAAGTTCAAGAAGTACGAGGAGATAGACAATGCCCCTGAGGAGCGAGCTCGGGGTATCACCATCAATGCAGCTCATGTGGAGTATAGCACTGCTGCCCGCCACTATGCCCACACAGACTGCCCCGGTCATGCAGATTATGTTAAGGTGAGGGTTGCTGGGGACAATCAGATCCTGCTTCACAGGTCAGTGGAGGTTTGAGGGGAGGAGGTTATAAGATAGTGGCGGTGTTTGGATACAAGAACAAGGATTTGTGGCTGTGGGTGGTGAGGACATGGCAGAGAGATGGGGATCTTCACAGCTACCTAGTTAGATGATGCATAGTTGAAGAGGTCCTTGAACTAAGTTGACTTTCTTCCTCTTCCACCTAGAATATGATCACAGGCACTGCCCCTCTGGATGGCTGCATCCTGGTGGTGGCAGCTAATGATGGCCCCATGCCCCAGACCCGAGAGCACTTACTACTAGCTAAACAGGTACGGTGGTCTGGAAGGAGGGGAATGGAAGTTAAGTGAGAGGTTGGGTAATCGAGGATACCATCTCCACCTCGTTCTCACTTGCAGATTGGAGTAGAGCATGTTGTAGTATATGTGAATAAGGCGGATGCGGTCCAGGACTCAGAGATGGTGGAGCTAGTCGAGCTGGAGATTCGGGAGCTTCTCACCGAGTTTGGCTATAAAGGAGAGGAGGCCCCAGTCATCATAGGTTCTGCGCTCTGTGCCCTGGAGGTAAAAGCAGGGGCTGCTGCTGTTAGAGGATGGAGTAGAGCTTCCTTCCCTCTGTGCCCAGAGACTAGCATTCTGGGGGAGGAGCAGAAATTTCAGGATCCTATCGTCTTTCTCCAACAGCAACGTGATCCTGAGCTAGGAGTGAAATCAGTGCAGAAGCTGCTGGATGCGGTGGACACTTACATCCCAGTGCCTACCCGGGACCTGGAGAAGCCCTTTCTGCTTCCTGTAGAGTCAGTTTATTCTATTCCTGGTGAGGCCTGTGCTCACTTAGACCCCTCCCTATTGGGACCATGTAACCTGAGATCTCTGGTGAGCTGTCCTGTTGTTCCTTTGCAGGCCGAGGTACGGTGGTAACAGGTACGCTAGAACGTGGCATTTTAAAGAAGGGAGATGAGTGTGAGCTGCTGGGACATAACAAGAACATTCGCACTGTGGTGACAGGTATAAGAAGGAAAACTTCAGACGCTGGGGCAGTCTCCGAATGACCCTTTCCCATGTAGGTCTTGTACCTGCCTTCTGCCTCAGACCACCTTCCCACCTGTTTTTCTAGGCATTGAGATGTTCCACAAGAGCCTGGAGAGGGCTGAGGCAGGGGATAACCTGGGTGCTTTGGTCAGAGGCCTAAAGCGGGAGGATTTGAGGCGTGGCTTGGTCATGGTCAAGCCAGGCTCCATCCAACCCCACCAGAAGGTGGAGGCCCAGGTGAGGGCTCCAGGTGATAGTTTGGTAGGGTTGGGCCAAGTCCCTTGATTAGAAGCAGGACTTCCAGCCAGGGCATTCTACCCTTGCTCCTCTCCTCTAGGTTTACGTCCTCAGCAAGGAGGAGGGTGGCCGCCACAAACCATTCGTATCTCATTTCATGCCTGTCATGTTCTCCCTGACTTGGGACATGGCCTGTCGTGTCATCTTGCCTCCAGGGAAGGTATGATGGGGCTAGTGGGTATAAAAGTAAAACCTGGCAGTGGTGGTGCATGCCTTTAATCCTAGCACTTGAAGATAAAACAAAGATTAAACAAATAGCTGGGTGGTGGTTGTGTACGCCTTGTCTCAAAAACAACCCAAAAGCCGAGTTCTACCTAAAGATATAGCATGACACACAGGTTAGCCCTTTCTTCGGTCTTCAGATTAAGTTGAAAATTTCGGAACACCAGAGAAATATGCCATAGAAAAAGGTTGTGTTTAGTTTTGGTTCTTCCTGTTTTATTTTGTGAAACATGGAGGGCTCAGAAAACTGTTGACTGAAACTGCGTAATACCAGGTTCCTAACATGGTCCTTTACATGTTTCCAGATAGACTTTCACCTGTTATATTTTCCCATATGACTATCAGCAGTTATACAACGAAGCTACTCTGCTGACTGCCTTTTCCTTCTCTATTAGGAACTTGCCATGCCTGGAGAGGACTTGAAGCTCAACCTAATCTTGCGGCAGCCCATGATCTTAGAGAAAGGCCAACGTTTCACTTTGAGGGATGGCAACAAGACCATTGGCACTGGCATTGTTACTGACATACCAGCCATGACCGAAGAGGACAAGAACATCAAGTGGAGCTGAGTCTGGACTTGTGCTCAGGCTGTTGAGCTTAGAGCTGCCTTTGACAGCGTTCCCTCCTGTGGACACACACTGCATCCAAGCAGAATATAGCTATGAACATTTCTCCTGTTCACAAGGAGTGACCTTCCAGGAGAGGTAGGCAAATAAACTGTTCTGTCAATATCAACCTGTGTCTTGTACCTTCTGTGTAAGTAGATATGGAGCACTAGATTTGGAGTACCCCAGAGCTGTTTTGGTTTATCTAGGGTAGAGTTCATTCTGGCATACAAGCCAGAGAAGCTCAGACTCTAAACTGTCATCAGTGCTGTAACAGCTTGAGAAAAAGAAGCTAGTTAAGTGAGCTTTGTGTGAGTTCCAGCAAAATACAACTATGTTATTCCCCTAGTCTGATTATTGGGGCTGGAGAGATGGTTCAGTGGTTAAGAGCATTGCCTGGTCTTCCAAAGGTCCTGAGTTCAATTCCCGGCAACCACATGGTGGCTCACAACCATCTGTAATGGGGTCTGGTGCCCTCTTCTGGCCTGTAGAATTGTATACATATTTTTTTTTTTTTAAAAAAAAGTCTGATTATCACTTAGTTGTATTGGCTCAATTTGGCAAAAGAACAAGTACCATAGCTAGGTATGATAGCCAACACAGTCTGAAGCCCTGTCTCAGAAGCCCAGAAACACTTAAGATAAATTAGGGTATGTGCTTAGCTGTCAGTACCATCCATGGCAGTTCCCAATGACAGACTTCTCTCCTGAGTATTAAAGGTCAGTAGCTAGCAGCACCCTCCAGTTCTGTGGATTGCTTTCCAGCTTCTCCTTGTGCATTCCGGTACCATCTGTCCTGAGGGTGCTCTTGCTAGGGATATCAACCTTCCCTATTTACCACATTCCTTTCGCTCAGCCAATATGTAGTCAATACCCAGATTCTGGGGACTTTTCCTGCCTTCCCCACAGCAAACATCTGCCAGTAAATAGCCAAGTTTAGGTTTCTAAATTTGGGATTAGAGTTTTGTCTGGTCTAGGACAGAAACCCTGACTCAACAAAGAACACCTTTGGTGGGGCTAGAGGTAGCTCAGTGGTTAAGAGCACTTGTTGCTTTTACAGAGAACCTGGGTTCTAGGTGAAGGTGATTAAAACCTGATTTGTTTACTACAGGCAGGTTAAGTTAGTTTAAAATTTTATTTTTTTTATTTGTTTTTTTTAATTTTTTATGTAATAAAAAGTAAAAGTCCTTGAGGCATCTGTCTGTCGGTCTCTCACACAGGACACTCAAGTTAATGGGGAAGAACAGGGGGCCCAAGTCTGAGGTTATAAATAATAGAAAATAAAAGATCTTCCGTCTCCAGCGGGGGAACAGATGAGAGGATGGGAGGACAAGACTGGGTGGGACCCGGCAGGGGCAGAGCAGGAACCTCCCCCACCCCCGCTGGACCCCAGCCCTGCCCACTTCAAGGACCCCTCCCATTCAAGGTGCTTGGCAGGAATTCCCCAGCTCCCCAAGGGAAAGGGGTTGGGGGCGGGGCTAGGACTGGTCCGAGCTGCTGGGGGAAGAGACATAGATCACTCTTCCCTCCACTCATGGAGGTCTCAGGTCGCGGCCAGGACAATCTTCAGTTCCCCGGGGGGTGGAAGGGGAGCTGCTGGGAGGGATGAGATTGAACTGGTTGGAGGGGAAAGAGAGAGAGCAGGAGCATTAGAACCCGAGCAGCTGTCCCTCTGTCAATGCGTCCAGGGGGTGTGGGGGGTGTGGGGAGGAGCGGCCTCCTCCAGGAGTCTCAGGGGGCTGTCAGAAGCACAGGTCAAACGCTGTTTCCCAGTAGGCCAGAAAGCCCTTACTCAGTTGCCCAGCTCAGCCCCCCACGCCCCAGTCTGGCCCTGTCTGCTGCGCTGACCTTACCTCGGCTAAGTCAGGAGACAGTCGGGGTCACTGAGAGCTGGGGAGGCAGTGGGGAGGGGGGCTGCTGGATCACAACTGAGCGAGGACGGAGGGAAGCAAAGGACAGAGCCAGGAGCAAGCCCCTGGCGGCGGCGACTGTGGCTTCTGCCCACCCTACATACTTCACAGACAGGTGTGGGTCGGCGGGCGCCCTCTGAGACAGCCCTGCCTCCAAGACCCCTCAATCCCCACCCAGAACCCGTGCATCCTGCCCCACCTGCAGCCCCTCAGCTCTTCCATGCCAAATTCCCCCAGCTAACGAGAACTCACGAATCCTGTCATCGGCTCCTCCTGGAAATCCAGGCGCCTGGCCAGGCTGCTCACCTTGGGGGTGTCCGATGTAGGGGTAGGGTGAGGGTGTGGAAGCTGAGAGTGCAGGCACCCCACTCGGGGGCACCGCGCCTTGGGGGGGCCCCCCATGGCCCTGGGGGGGGGTGCAGCAGCATCACCTGGGGCGGGTGAGGTGCCCCGGGGTGTGGGGGCGGGGCTGCTGTGACTCCAGTTTGGACATGGGCCTGTAGAGAGAGAAATAGCTTTAGTACCCGGTATGACAAGACATTTGGAGATCCCTTATCAAAAGAGCGTTGCAAAGTGGTACAAGCACTGAAATGGGACAGTGTATCCCCTGACATCCTACCTGGGTAACATGGGCCATGTTGGTGAAGCCGTGGGGCAGCTGCTGGTGGGGATGGATGGCATACACAGCAGCTGGCTGGGGAAAGCTGCTCTGAGGGGACTGGGCAGAAGGTCCCGGCGGTAGAGAAGGAGGTGTGCCTGTTAGGGCCCCTGGATGGTACAGGTTCTGCTGTGGCTGTCCACTGCCCAGGTGTGGGGCCTGCCCCGCCTGGTGCTGCCAGAGTAGAAGTGAAATATGAGTATCACCAATTCTGATATGCAGAAAAACCACCTGCTCGTTTGTTTCTCTGCTGAAGAATGACCCAACTCTATCAAGTTAGCCCTCTTCCAGTCACCCATTCAGACCTCCCAACCTCTCCAGGCACCTGAACAGGACTGGGGGCCGCATGCTGGGATTGTGGCTGGCTCCCAGTAGGTGTGGTAGCCGGCTGTGGCTGATGGCCATGGAGCTGCGTGGCATGGTGTGGATAGGACTGGTGAACAGTGGCTGCAAAAGGAAGGAAGAAGACCCAGTGCTGAGCACATCAAATGGATAAAGGCCCACAGCCCAGTGAAAGAGTGGGCACCAAAACTCACCATAGAGGGCTTGGGGGGTAGGCTGCTCTGCAGAGGGGTACTGAGGAGTGGAGGATGACACAATGGCCTGGGGGTGGCTTCCAGATGTCAACATTCGTGGGTTACTTTGAAGCATAGGGGCAAACACCGGCTGGAGGAAAAAAAGCAAAGTAGTAAGCAGATCAGCCTGGAGAGGAATCTCCTGTCAGCGTCCATGTGCAAAGAACTGCCTGAACCCTCAATAGTCATCTTAAAGATCCCAACAACCTTAACTCAAGAGAGAAAAAAATGAAAGCAAGGTTCAATGCTTTGTTATCGTCTGGACATTGCCACCCCACAGCTGGTCATAACACTGCTCCCCTCACTCAGATTGGATCTCAGAGGCGGACTCTGTACCTGTGAAGGGTAGTGTGCCATGGGCTGCATCATGGCAGGCTGGCCTGGGAACTGCTGTGGGTTGTAGGGGATGTAGGAGGAATAAGGTGTGGCAGCCACTAGGGGTGGGCCAGCAGCAGCAGCAGCAGCCTGCATCATCGGAGGGGCTGAGGCTGGCTGGTGTTGGTCTGAGCGCTGGGGGGGAAGTGAGCCTATGGGTGGAGGGTAAACAATGTAAAACTCAAGCTTCAATGTCTAGACACTAGAAGCCCCAACTATCCTTCCCAACAAGCCTGCTCACCTTTTGCACCCCGGTACTTGCCCTGCTGCCCAGGCACCGAATTGGAAACAGGATATGGATACATCTGAGGTGCCTAAGGATAGATAAGAACTGGGGCTCAACAGGTTGTTCATCAACATTGAGCTGGACTTTCAGCATTTTTCTTGGCTCACCTAGTCTCCTACCTGCACAGCTGGTCCCATGTGGATCTGAGGTATATATGAGATGTACTGGGGACTGTAGAGCCCACTCTGGCCTGCTGTCAGCACCGGTATGGAAGGTGTTGAGTGAGTACGGGGCCCTGGTGAAGTTGGAGTACTGGTAGATTTGTTCTGTAAGAAAGGACTTTTTTATTTCTGTAAATTTCATTCCAGCCTTTTAAAATTAATAGTTAACCCAATGGAATGCAGTGTACCACCTCATACTTTTCTTTATAGCAAACCACAAAATGGACATTCTTAAATTCAGAGAGCAAATAGGCAGAGAACCCTAAATGGTTGCCTGAAATCCAGACGCCCTATGAGTTATCAGTTAAAGCCAAGTCAGTTGATTTGATGAAGCTCATAGTCCTAACCATGACAACGATACTTGTCATGGCAAATAGTAAGAACCAAAGCAACCTGTCAGAATCAATCAGGAGGCCTCATCACTCTACCCTGGAGATGTGACTGTTTTTCCAAAAGCAGTATAACCTCTACTATCTAGACTGCAGCAGTACTTCCTCACAGTAGAGGACAGTCTACTATCCTGACAGTGAAGTGCTTCTCCTACACTGTTCTATTGTGCCCCACTCAAGGATACCCAAGTCTATATGCAACAGTCCCAGCTCACCACAGATAGCAGAGGCTTTGTTGGATTGAACTCCTTGGCATTGGGGTTCAAAGTAGACTTCTTTACTTGTCTGTAAGAGAACGTAAATCTAGCTCTTGAGTCATGTCCTTCACCAGCACATAAGTACCAAAGATGTTCCCCATCTACCACCACCAACTTACTCAGTAACAGGGCCCTCCTCTTTGTCATCTCCCTTGATGAGGCCCAATGGGGGACTGCCAGTTTGGCTGGGGCAAGAAGGTGGGAGCTGCTCTGGCCCCTCAGTACCCCCTACTGCTGCCAGGGATGGTTTGTCTTCCTTATCCAATATGGATTCCGTCTTGGAAGAGACTGGGGATCCCATGGGATCTGAAGTCAATAGGCCATCCACCTCCTTCTCCTTTCCTTTGGCCTCTTCTTTTAAGATCCGGGAAGGAAATGGATCCAGGCCGGTCTCAGGGGAGCTACTAGGTTGCAGCTGGGAGGAGAAATAATCACTTTATCATACTGTCCACTCCAGACCCCAGGCTTTACCCCCCCCCCCCACATTCACTCTTGCTGGATCTCATCTTTTCCCATCCACTCAGTCTTTGCACAGCCCATATCCTGCTTCTATCCTAGCTCCTTTGCAAGCCTTACTCACCTTAAACTGGGCCCCAAACTTCCTCAGTTCTTCCAATTGAAATCGTTTCTGTTCATTCTGAAGCCCAGGGACTATGAGAAAACAGTGAAATAAGGAGAAAATATATTTTTTTCCCTGAAAGATTACATAGGGCTAGTTAACAGTCAGGACGAGAAGTCAAAGAATGAGCTCTTGAGAATTAAATGATAAATAAAACCCAAGGGCAGATGGGCACTGCTTTTGAATCCCAACAAACTTCCAAAAGGAAACACTCCCCCCAAAGTAAATGGGACCACACAAAGTAAAATCACCCTCACCTTTCCCAGCTATCCGGGCCAGTTCTTGGGCCTCCAAAGTCCTACCGGGCTCCTTTGTTGGGAGTTCTTTAACTGAGAAAAGACAGACACCCTAAGATCCTGCGATCCAGTTACACTCTACAGCTTTCAAGCATCTACCTGGTTCTTACCATCTGTGGGGGCCAGGGAGATTTTGGGAGATGCTGGGGAAATAGAGCCTGCTCCAGGATCCACAACTGATGATGTCACAGGGATGGAGGCAGAGGACACTACTGCTGAACCAATGGGAGGCTCAGGACAGGAAGTTGAGACTGGGGCGGGGGCAGCAGACTTGGGAGACCGTGGAGGGTACATCCGGCCCACTGGAAGAAAAGGGAGAGCTACACAATGGTTACTGCTGACCAGGAAGCAATCATATAAGGGGAAAACCCAAAGAAAATCTATAAGCTTTTTACACCCAGGGTCATAATTTCCCATGCAAGACCAGAGGTAGGTAAGTAATATAAGCAGGAAAATGCTAGCATCAGGTAGCACAAAAGACTGGAGATGCTGCAGTTTCTCCTGCTCTAAATGTTGCTAACAAAACCGAAGTCTCAACAAAACACGTGACAACTAGCTACAGCCCATGGACCAACACATTAAAACGGAGGGAAACCAAGTTCTCCCCCAAAACTATTAAATTTAAGACTCCCTGACATCAGGCATCAACAAACTGCCTCCCAGCATTTTAACAACTCATTTATCCCCAACCCCCATGTATAAACTTCTGCATGCATGGCCTGCAGCCATCCCCAATGAAGTTCTCTACCTGCAGGTGCTGGAGGAACAGAAGCTTCTCCAGAAGGCCTATTGTTGGGTGAAGATAAAGTCTTGGCACCTCTCAAAGGGCGCTGTGCCTTGGGGGACATGCGGGAAGGGCCTATTTTGTTTTGTGATGCGAAGAAAAAAAAAATCACTGTTTATTACATGAACACAGACACATCACCTTGCCCACTACTTAAAATCCTATTAATCACCCTTCCTACCTTCTTCCCACTCCTTCTGCCACATCATAACCTACCTCCATTGATACCACGTGCCTCAGACCCAGGGCCAGGGCTGCTATTGTCAAGATGGTGAGGGCCACGAGGTGGCAAAGAGCTAAGGCCAGGTCGCCCTCCTCGAGCGCCACTGCAACGAACTCCTCCCCGGGGACCTTCCCGAACTCGTTGAGGCAAAGGGATATACTTCCCTTCCCTGCGGAAAGGCTCAAGTAAGGGAAGGAGGCCCCCCAAAACAACCACTTTAACGACACAGAGCCTACGTCAATCCTTGCACCTGAAACATTTTCGCTATCACACTTCCTCTGTCAGAGTCCAATGTAGCTATGAATTTACGACCTTATTTCTCAAACCAGACCAAGCCCAAGTGGCCAAGAGCATCATAATTTTATTGTTCTTCACCTATCAGAAAGTTCAAGGAGATCCTTTTATAAGATGCTGAGTATATGAAATTTCATTTTTGTGACAGAAGAAACAGCACACACAAATAAATTAATGAAGAGACACTTCATACAAAAAAAAGTTTCCTTTTTCGAAATACAGTTTCTCTGTATAGCCCTGCTGTGTTGGAACTAGCTCTGCAAACCAGGCTGGCCTTGAACTCAGAGATCCGCCTGTCTCTACCTCCCAAGTGCTGGGATTAATGGCATGGACCTACTGACCTCCTGGCCCCAAAAAACTTTTAAACCTCTACAAGCCTCTTGCTGCAAATTACCAAATTTCTAGGACTTCAGTCTAAACCTCAAAACTGGGAGCCACTAGGCATTAACCACACTCAGTAAGGTGGTGAAGGTTAACAACAATTTACAAAGTTCTTCCTAGCTCCCCCAGGAGTTACCTGGACACCAAGCTGGGGCTCTCCCGCCCAGACCCCTGCCGCTGAACCGCACTGTGCTTCTCCTCCTCCGTTCGCCCATCATCATTTTCCATGGCAATCCGTAGGCGGTACTGGGGACTTGATTCAATCTCTCGAGCTAACTGGGCTGCACGCAGCTCCCGCTGCCGAAACTCTTCTGAGTTGTCCTTTTCCAAGGGAACCCTGAAAATACACCCAAAAAGATCATGGTCCCAGTGCAAGAAAACAACATTTAAGGACAAAACTGCTTTAACTCCAAGACCAGTCAAGTCCATGGTGTTCAATCTATTATTCTGGTTTTTTCCTTTTGTAAGGTTACAGGTTGAACCCAGCACCTTGTTCATGTCTGACAAGTGCTCCACCGGTGAATTTAACCTGCAGTTCAGTCAGTATATATTCAATAGACATCTACCAAGTGCTAGGCAAAGCACCATGATACATTCTCAATCTGATACTTTGGGGACTCAGATTAGGTTAGGCTGGTTGGCCAGCAAGCAAATCCTATCCCCGAACCCCATTTTTTTTCCCCCAGAAATAGGATTACAAGGTTAACCACACCTGCCCTTTTATAGGGCTGCTGAGGACACAACTTGGGTCCTCACACTTGTTACAGCACGTACTTTACAGCTGTGTTACATTCCCAGATCAGCAGTTACTTCTACCCACTAGAAAAGCAGCTCAGCAGGCAAACCATGAGGGAGGACTACTTATAAACCGAAACACACACACCATACAAAACTGTTCCATTCTGAGGTCTGCCTTACTAGAACAGCAAGTCCTGCACTGCAACCACCCAAAACACTTACGTGTAAGAAGATAGACTGCTATCATAGGTGGTCTTTACACCATAGTTCTCTTCGTTAAATTTGAACATCTCATTGGGATCCCATCCATTAGACTAAGGAGAGAACAGAAATGTTTAAAACCCACGAAGAAAAACTGCCATGCCATTCCTTTCCAACTAGTTAAAAACTCCTGTTCAAATTGAACAAGCCAACATATGTTCATTAAGATTTTTTTTCAATTTTATTTTTTGAGACAGTTACATTTTCTTTAATGCCTTATGTTCTACTTGTGTAAACGGAGTCAGATTGCCTGGAACTAGAGTTACAGCTGTTTGTGAGCCACCATGGGGGTGCTGGAAATTTAAATTTAGCGTCAGTCCTCTGGAAGAGTATTCAAAGCTTTTTACCTAATAAACCATCTCTCCAGCCCAACAAAATTTGGTTTTGAGAAAGGGTCTCACGTGGCCCAACTGCAAGGAGACTAAGGACTGCTTCAAGCCCTTGGTTCTCTTGCTTCTACACTCTAAACTCTGGAATCAAAAATGCTATCATGGTTCTCTAAGTTTTCTTTCTTTTTTTAAATAAACAAACAAAAATTAATTTACAATGTGGGTCTGTTCTGGTGGCGTAGCAGGCATATGGAAGTCTAAGGACAATTTGCAGGAATCTGCTCCATTCTACCACTTGGCTTGATGGCAAGCACCTTTATCTGCTGAGCAACCTTACCAGCCTCATTTACGAAACTTTAATTGAAGTAGCTGGTTTTATGAAGAAATATGGATCTATACAGCAGTTATATTATGTCATCTTACTTCCTTTCTTTTCTTCTTTAAAGACAATCTTTTTGCTATATAGTTCAAGTTGGCCTGGAACTCACAGTTCTCCTTTCTCAATTTCCCAAGGCTGGATTATGGGCATGAATTACCATGCCTAGATTATACTACCACCTCTGCCCCCAAGATAGGGTTTCTCTGTAGCTTTGGAACCTGTCCTGGAACGTGCTCTATAGACCAGACTGGCCTTGAATTCACAGAGAACTGCCTGCCTCTGTCTCTTGAGTGCTGGGATTAAAGGTGTGCGCCACCACCACCGCACTATACTTTTTGCAACAAAGAAAATGCCATGAAGAAATGCTACCAATTATTAATGCAGAGGACGGGAAAACTGACCCTTTTTTGCCACCTTCCTTTTCAAGAACCAACAGTTGCCACCTTCCAAGAACAGGCTTTAAAAAAAAAAAAAAGACCCCTATACCAAGCATACACCAAGCAAAAAGAATGACCTTCTAACTACACCAACCCACATACACCACATTCAGCCTGTCCTGTTCTTGGGGAGACCGTACCATATCAGATTCCAGATCGTAGTCATCGCTGTTGCTGTCGCCACCCTCCCAACGTTGTAGCACCTTCTCTTTGTGTTCACCATTAACCTTAGAGTTCATGGCAATGGCCGAGTCAGTGAACTTATCTGTGTGGCAGAGAAGAGCAAGAGTCAAGTCATACACCACCCTCCTCACCCTCATTCCCTGACTCCGTGTAGTTTTAGTTAACAAAAGAAATTTTTAAGAAACATCAGATTTAGATTTTATGTTTCTATGTGGCAACAGGTAGAAATATTAAAACACAGATCTATCTCAACGGGGTGGTAAATACCAGTAATCCAGCATTTGGGAGGCAGAGACAATTTGATGTCTAAGGGTTGAAAAGGGCTACATAGAAAGACCCTACTACCCCCCAACCAAAAAAAACAAACAAAAAAAACAAACACCCAAACCACAGAACTAATATTAATTCAAAAGCAAAAATTGGAAACTAAACAAAAGAAATAGGAGTAACCACACTACACCACCAGTCATAATTCACTAGATTAGACATCTACATGTATTTTCAAGAAGAATCATTCAATAACCTCTATCAGAAAAGATGCTAGAAGACATAATCATCATGTCTACCTGTGAACTCACTTCTACCCAGGGAGACAACAGCCTAGCACATTACCTTTTGTAGCATAATTGAAGTCAACATTTCGGAAGTGGACAAGCAGAACATCACTTGGTTTAAATACCATGGTATCCACAATGTCTTCCCGCCGAGGCCCACCTGCTGGTTCAGATGCTTTCCGGTGTACTGCGTCTACTGCCAGTTCAAACTACAAAAGCCCCATTCCCAAAATTCCGGGATCAGTATCAAAGAGGGGAAAAAAACAACTATTTCTTATCCTTTCTAATCTTTCAACACCAAATTCTCATGCTGCCCTGCCCTTCTCAACACCAGCAGAGACCTTACCAAAAGCCTCAAAACTGTCTGGTGTCACCCAGCACACACCCTCAAGTTCATTCTCCTTCTTAGTTTCAGAAATAAGCTAATTTGCCAGGTGGAAGCGGTGCATGCCTTTAACCCCAGCACTCAGGAGGCAGAGTCAGGCGGATCTCTATGAGTTCAAGGCCAGCCTGGTCTACAAGAGCTAGTTCCAGGACAGGCTCCAAAGCTACAGAGAAACCCTGTCTTGAAAACCAAAAAAGAAAAAAGCTAATTTGAGTACACTGACCTTTGAGCTCAGAGTTTTGAAAATGCCCTCATAAGTGGTGCCATTTTTCACCTTTACGTCACAAGTAGAACCCTAAGAGGGTGGAAGATTAAAGTCACTGGAGGAAACTGAAACAGAACACTCCTCAAACACCCAATTTAAAGCTCTCACTTACCACCACAGCAGTCAGAAAATGCAGCATCCTGGAGTTATTATAAACACCTTCAAACACCTGTCACACAAGGGAAAAATAAGAGACAGCAGGTACTTTCTTCCCCAACTGTACCATACATTTGAATTCTGCGTGTCTCTACAGGAGGAAAAAAAGGCACTCACAGGCGACTGTGGGGGTCCCTTTCCGGTGCTCTGTCCCCTGTAAGAGAGAGAGAGAGAAAAAAAACTAGTTTTACAGCGAACTTTAGAACAACGTAACATGTCAATCTGCTGATTTAGGCTACCAAGCAAATAACTAGAAGCTCTCACATCAAACAGTAATATAGGCATCAACTGTCAAAACATTTTCTACAAATGCCATTAAAAAAAAGCCAACAAAAATTCAATAAACAATGGCTGTCAAACGCTCTGAACAGCCAATGCAATACAACCTTCTGACTCCAACAGGCCACCACTTCATGCTTCCAATAAACCACTACTACAATATTAAGCAAACCAACAGCCCAATTCAGCAGCGAAGGTGAAAAGCTGAGGTATCCCAGATGCAGCACTACTTAGCTCAGACACATACCTCCCAAAAGAAAAAAGCATTTTCAGCAGCCTTAGGCTACAAATCCCAGGAGGGTTATACTCTCTACACCCCACCTTTCAACCTCAGTACTCATTCAGCCTGTTACCCACTCTGGAGGGATCCCCAATCGCCAGGTAACAGTGGTAACAGTGCTCCTCGACGGCTGATGTAACCGGCGGTTGAGGAGGGCGAGGAGGGGGCCGTTGGCGGGGCTGGGGGACCGCGCAGCCGCAAAAGCCATCCACCGGGATGCCTCGCCCGGTCTGCGCCTGCGCACTAAAGCCCACAGCCCTCTACCACCCCCTCCCGAACAGAAGCCACTGCGCCTGCGTCCAGCGCCAATCTCTATCGCATTGACACACCGAAAAAACCGAGGGCACCCACTCCTCACTCACCGACACCGGACACCCCTAAACCCTCATGCAACCCCTCCCTCCCCCGCCTCTGCTTTACGTGTTACCGGGGTAAGCCAATGCCCGGGTCATAAGACAGCATCCGCGCGCACGTACGAGAAGGGCGCGCGCGCGCGCAGGAGCTTCCCAGCCTGCAGTCTTCCCAGTCGCTGCTGCTTCCGCGCCCCCGCCCACCCCGTTCCCTTCTTACTGGCTACACCGGGAAGAGGAGGGAGCAATCCGCTCCCAAGTCCCTCCCTCCCCATTGGTCAAACTGTGGGCCGCGCGCCCCCCCTCCATTGGCTACGGCCGGGGACCCCTTCATGCAGCTTACTCCCCATTGGCTGAAGCCGGGGACCGCGAGATCCTTCGTGGTAATGGAGCTGGGGACCCCATCACCTCCTCAACCCCCCCAACACCCTTTTCCGACCGAGCTGGCGGGACGCGCCCCGCCTCCCCTCAGGGCCCAGACCCCAGGCGGTGACTAGGCCCTGAGAGCCGAGCACCGCCCCTAGGCTTCTGGAGACTGCCCGGGGAGGTTTTCCTCCGACCTGTTGGCGCCAGGGGCTACCCCCACCTTCGTGGGGTTCTGGGCCCCAAGTGGCCCTCAACGGCGCCGTGCTCGGGCGCGCCTCGGCCCAAACCGAGCCGCCGCCGCCGCCTCTGAGCGCTCCCCCGCCAGGAAGTCCCGTCCTCACCTGACGCTGCCAATAGCCACTGCCCCTGGCTGCGGTGGCGGCGGC